TTTTTTTTTTCAGTTTCTCAGTTATACTTACCTAGGTGGATGCAGCATCAGTCCGATGCTACATCTGTCCCCCGCCAGCTCTAAGTGTGAGAACTCAGCGATCACATGACTTCTGATCCCTGAGTTCTCACAGCCACTCAGAGCAGAGAGTGGTGACTGTCAGCCACCACTATCTGCTCTGCCCCCCTGTGCTCACTGGAGTGCTCTGCTGTGGAGAGGGAGGGAGAGGCTGGCCCAGGCGACACTCCAGGGTGGATCCTGACTTTAAAGTCGGTCTCTTTTCCCAGCCTGGACCAGCTGAGTGACATCAGCCAACAGCAGGATTTACAGAATAAACTCCAGGGATCAAATGCCACAGGAAAGCCAAGGGAACCAGGACCAAATTCACTTATGGATAGCCTTTCGGAGGTGCTGCCCTCCTCAGATAGGGAAATCAACAACTGAAAAAAGAGCAAGCAGGAGGCGCACACCCCTAGGGCATTATCCAAGGTTTATTATAGCTTAATAGGGATGAAAAAATACTCACAAACATAGCATAAATGGCCATAACAATGGTGGGGTGTCCGACTGTCAGTGTGGTCGGCTAACTGACGCGTTTCGTGGATGAGTCCCTTTCCTCAGAGCTGATCATTGTTATGGCCATCTCCACCGTTCTACTAAGCTGTACATTTATGCTATGTTTGTGAGTATTTTTTCATCCTTTTTATACTATAATGAACCTTGGATAATGCACTAGGGGTGTGCACCTCCTGTTTGCTCTTTTTTAACAGCAGGCTTCAGCCCACTGTCAGCTGAAAACGGGTCACAGGATTGCAGAACAAACTGCACTCCTGTGATCCACAGAAGTACAGCCAAAAGAGCTTTGGCTGTACTTCTTCTTCTGAGGAGTATAATAGTGCCACGGGTGGCAGTGGCACTCTACAAGGACAGCTGAGACCATGAAAGTAGCAAAGTGTTCATCCATTTTCAGTTTCATAACTAAATATACATCTGGCTTAGCACAGTGAATTTTGGAAGAAGCATAATTTCTTCCTTCTTGGATAATGCTGAATAGATATATATTTGCAGATACCCTTCCTTCTGACATGATTATACTGCCATGATGCACCAGGAAAATGTGAAATTGTATACCCTCCTTGCGGTTATTTTCCTTTCCTGGTGCATCCAGGGAAAGGAAAATTGCTTAAAGGTACAATGGGGATCGAAAGTTTGGGCACCCCAGCTAAAAATTTGTATTAATGTGCATAAAGAAGCCAAGGAAAGATGGAAAAATCTCCAAAAGGCATCACATTACAGATTAGACATTCTTATAATATGTCAACAAAAGTTAGATTTTATTTTCATCATTTACACTTTCAAAATAACAGAAAACAAAAAAATGGCATCTGCAAAAGTTTGGGCACCCTGCAGAATTTATAGCATGCACTGCCCCCTTTGCAAAGCTGAGACCTGCCAGTGTCATGGATTGTTCTCAATCATCGTCTGGGAAGACCAGGTGATGTCAATCTCAAAGGTTTTAAATGCCCAGACTCATCTGACCTTGCCCCAACAATCAGCACCATGGGTTCTTCTAAGCAGTTGTCTAGAAAACTTAAACTGAAAATAGTTGACGCTCACAAAGCTGGAGAAGGCTATAAGAAGATAGCAAAGCGTTTTCAGATGTCAATATCCTCTGTTCGGAATGTAATTAAGAAATGGCAGTCATCAGGAACAGTGGAAGTTAAAGCAAGATCTGGAAGACCAAGAAAAATATCAGACAGAACAGCTTGCATGATTGTGAGAAAAACAATTCAAAACTCACGTTTGACTGCACGATCCCTCCAGAAAGATCTGGCAGACACTGGAGTTGTGGTACACTATTCCACTATAAAGAGATACTTGTACAAATATGGTCTTCATACAAGAGTCATCAGAAGAAAACCTCTTCTACGTCCTCACCACAAAAATCATCGTTTGAACTTTGCAAATGAACATATAGACAAGCCTGATGCATTTTGGAAACAAGTTCTGTGGACCGATGAGGTTAAAATTGAACTTTTTGGCCGGAATGAGCAAAGGTACGTTTGGAGAAGAAGGGGCACAGAATTTAATGAAAATAACCTCTGCCCAACTGTTAAGCATGGGGTTGGATCAATCATGCTTTGGGGTTGTGTTGCAGCCAGTGGCACAGGGAACATCTCACGAGTAGAAAGAAAAATGGATTCAATAAAATTTCAGCAAATTTTGGATGGTAACTTGATGCCATCTGTGAAAAAGCTGAAGTTAAAGAGAGGATGGCTTCTACAAATGGATAATGATCCTAAACACACCTGGAAATCCACGGGGGATTACATCAAGAGGCGTAAACTGAAGGTTTTGCCATGGCCTTCACAATCTCCTGACCTCAACATAATTGAAAATCTATGGATAGACCTTAAAAGAGCAGTGCGTGACAGACAGCCCAGAAATCTCAAAGAACTGGAAGACTTTTGTAAGGAAGAATGAGCAAAGATACCTCAAACAAGAAATGAAAGACTCTTGGCTGGCTACAAAAAGCGTGTACAAGCTGTGATACTTGCCAAAGGGGGCAGTACAAGATATTAACTCTGCAGGGTGCCCAAACTTTTGCAGATGCCATTTTTTTTGTTTTCTGTTATTTTGAAAGTGTAAATGATGGAAATAAAATCTAACTTTTGTTGACATATTATAAGAATGTCTAATCTGTAATTTGATGCCTTTTGGAGATATTTCTGTCTTTCCTTGGCTTCTTTATGCACATTAATACAAATTTTTAGCTGGGGTGCCCAAACTTTCGATCCCCACTGTAAGTATGAAAAGTTCTGTTTTCTTGCTGTATCTTGAAAGAACCAGCTTAGTGTTGACAACCATGCAGGTAAATTTTGCTCATTAACATAGGCATACTTAAGCGCGCACACGTGTGAGGGCCAGAAGCGGACTGATCATTTGGAAACTCGGGCACTGCCTGAGAGCCCGGGATCAGTAGGGGGCCCCATGAGATGCCCCTGGTACCTTTTTCATAGGATTTTTTGAGTTTGGACAAGGACACAGGGGCCTCATGATCCCCTATTGCCCGGGGGTCCCATGAGTTGTTAGTCCGCCCCTGGTGAGGGCTGTTGTCTTGCCTGCAGGGGATGCACAGGGGTCCATGCATCCACTTGCAGGCAGTCCCATACAAGTCAATTGGGATGCAGCAGCTGCAAGGACACAACTGTTACTCCCAATTTGACATCCAAGTAGGTGCGGGTGCATGCAGGTGCATTTCCCCGAATGCAAACAGTGTACTTCCAGGAACATGCACCTGCACCCAAACAGATATCAGATTGGGAGCAGTGGCTATGTCCATGCAGCCACTGTGTCCCCACTGACATGAATAGGAAAGTCTACACACAGATGCACAGAACACCTGCGCATCACATGCAAACAAAACATGGCCCTCACATGGGTATTTGCTTAAGTGCACCTGTGTGAAAGAGGCCTTAAAGTTAAAGGAATAAAAAAAGAAAGAAAGAAATGACAAATTAGTGGACCCAAACATGCATGCTAGAAGGCAAGAGCAGATAAAGTGTTGTTACTGGAATGGATTTTTAAAAACTTTTTGTTTGTGTCTAATAGCCAGGTAAAATTACAAAAAAAAATAAAAAAAAATTTCAGTCTGGAATAATCATACACTGAGTGATCTATAAGTCACTTTTAATGATAATTGTTATGCACATACATGCAGTCGCCAACTTTACTGTAAGAAAACATTACATTGTGTTACATGACTTTTTTGCTGACCTTGCAGACTAATAAATACATCCTGAATTTTATGTCTGCTGCCAATTTACAGCATACAGGAAACTAATCTTGTACAATAACTGCCTTCCGGTACTATATTCCTAAGTGGAGCCAAATGGATTTCGTGGCGGAAGAACTCAACAGTGTAGCAGTGCTGAGCACAGCTAGAAATGATAGGGGCTGTTTGCACTTATTGACTTTAACAATATAATTATGTCCTCGTTTGGCTCCTTTATACCTCATAGAACAGCGACTTAAATTAAAAGCGAAAAATAATAATTGATCCTACTAAGAAGTAGTTTCCCAGGGGACATTTTTTTCTTCAAAAGTCATTGCTGTAAAGTCTTGCCAAGTACAAAAAGAGCATATTAAATATTAATACAATAATGTAGTATGTATGTATAATAAAACCACAGTGAGCGTAAAGTAATAGTAGGGCTATTGCTTGCTAGTGCTACTTGTTAACATCATATTTTGTATTGTATTGCAACGAAGAAGGTAACAGGCCATTCTGATGTAGAACAGCTGAGTCCTTGATGATCAGCCCCTCTAATCCCCAAAACATTATATATATTTTTATAGCAGATGCCCTAAAACATAAAATGGCAGTCATTGCAATTTTTTATGTTACATGGTTTTTGCGCAGCAAATTTTCAAATGCAAGTTTTAAAAAAATACACTTTAATGAATTGTTAAAACCCCAAAACATAATATATACCCCAATTCTTTGTAAAATATGAAAGATGATGTTACGCTGAGTAAACTAATACCTAACATGTCATGCTTTAAATATGCGCACACTCCTGGCATGGTGCCCAAAATAGTTTTTTTTAAATTATTTATTTTATTAATTTTTTTGTTATTTTTAAACTGTCTCTTTATTTTTTTTTATTTTATTAATTTTATTGCTATCGCAAGAAATGTACTCATTCCTTGCAATAACAATACAGCATGACAGGTCCTTTTTATGGAGAGATCTGGGGTCTATAAGACCCCAAATCTCTCCTCCTCCTTTAAAGGATATGTTCATCTTTAACATGTAACATATTCATGTAACATGTTCCCATAGCAGCAGCAGCGTCCGCCACCCCCCCTCCTTCTGACAGATAGTACGGGGAGAAGTCTCTCCCGTACTATCTGTCAGATTTGAAAACAGCGTGGCCGTGCGGGGCTCCACCCACACGGCCATGTCATTCATTCACAGAGTTCTGTGAATGAGTGCCTACAAGTCCTGGCAGCCTTATTGGCTGTGGGCTTATACTTTTCAATGAACTACCATGGCACTGTGGAGCGCAGTCAGGGGCAGACTGACAACTCATGGAGCCCCCGGGCAGTAAGAGATAGTGGGGCCCCCTGTGCCCCTGCCTACACTCAAGTCACACCTACACAACACCCTACCTACATATTGCTGCTCAGCTGCATAGAAGGGGCATTTAAAAATTTACTGCAGCAAAGACTGCATGAATGCTCTCAGCTTCTTTCCGTAGTAGCCACTGGGCACTTCCAGGTTTAAAGATGGCTGCCATGTGGGGGAAGTGAAAGAGAGAGGGAGGTGGGAGGGTGAAAAGGAGGATGAGTGTGAGAGAGAGAGAGGAGGATGAGTGTGAGAGAGAGAGAGGAGGAGGAGTGAGTGAGAGAGAGAAAGAGAGAGAGAGAGAGGAAGGGATGAGAGAGGAGGGGAGTGTTTAAAATTGCACAAAAATTGGGTGTGGCTTAAAAGCGGTGTGGTTAAATAGTGTCTGAGATGACTTATATAGTGCAGAATGAGGTAATGATAAATAGGGAATGTACAGTGTGATGTGTATGACAGTGAGTAGTATGTACAGGGAGAAGAGTGCAGAGTGTATGGTGGTGGGTATTATGTACAGCGATAGGAGTTCAGAGTGTATGGCTGTGGGTAGTATGTGTAGGATGGTGTCAGTCGGTGGTGTCAGTAATTCTTCATTTTTATTAATATTATTTAATTTTTTTTACAATTTTATGATTTTTTTTTTACAAATTAATGTTTTATTATTTTTATCATTTTTTTTCAAAATGCTTTTGGGTGGTCAGTGGATGGTATCAATAGAGCAATGGTGTGGGTGTCAGATTTTTGTTATCTAATTGTTTTAATTATTTTTTACAATTTATTTCTGTATTATTTTTTTCACAATGATTTTGTGGGGGCAGTGGACAGTGTCAGTAGGGAGTGAACAGGGTGTACTTGTATATGTTGGGTTGTAATTAGATTGAGATGAATAAACAGAATCTGGAAGGAAGGGAATGGATGGAGGGAAGGAAGGAAGGGAAGAAAGAAAAGGGAGGGAGGGAGGGAATGGATGGAGGAAGGAGGAAGGAAGGGGAGGGAGGGAAGGAGGGGTGGGAGGAAAAAATGAAGGGAGGGGATGGAGGAAGGAAGGGAAGGAAGAAAAGGGAGGGAGGGAATGGATGGAGGAAGGAAGGAATGAAGGAATGAAGGAAAGAAAGAAAGTGGATGGAGGAAGGAATGAAGGAAGGAAGGGGAGGGAAGGAAGGAAAGGGAGGGAAGGGTGGAATGAATAAAAAGGGAGAGAGGGAATGGATGAAGAAAGAGGAGAGAAGGAAGGAGGGTGGGAGGAAAGAATGAAGGGAAGGGATGGAGGAAGGAAGGGACATAAGAAAAGGGAGGGAGGGAGGGAACCGATGGAGGAAGGAAGGAAAGAAAATGGATGAAGGAAGGAAATGAAAGGAGGGGAGAGAAAAAAAGAAGGAAGGAAGGAATGAAGGGAGGGAGGAAGGGGAGAAAGGAAGGAAGGATTGAAGGAAGGGGAGGGAGGGGGGAAGGAAGGAAGGAAGGAATGATTGAAGGACGAGGAGGGAATGAAAAAATGAAGGGAGGGGATAGAGGAAGGAATGAAGGTAAGGAAGAAAAGGGAGGGAATGGAGGAAGGAAGGAAGAAAATGGATGGAGGAAAGAATGAAGGAAGGGGAGGGAAGGAAGGAAGGAAGGAGGAAGGAAGGAAGAAAAAAAAGAAGGGATTATATGGATGAAAGAAGGAAGGAAAGAAAGAAGGGGAGGGAGGGAGGGGAGACCGAAAGGAAGGAAGGGAGAGAGAGGGAGGGAGGGAAGGAAGGGGAGGGTAGGAAGGAAGGATGGAAGGAAGGTAGGAAGGGGATGGAGGATGGAAGAAAAGGGAGGGAGGGAATGGATGAAGGAAGGAAGGAAATGGATGGAGGAAGGAATGAAGGAAGGGGAGGGAAGGAAGGAAGAAAAGGGAGGGAGGGAATGGATGAAGGAAGGAAGGAAAGAAGGGAGGAAACAAAGTAAGAAAAGGGAGGGAGGGAATGGATGGAGGAAAGAAGGAATGATGGAGGGTGAGGAAAGGAGTAAGGAACAAATGAAGGAAGGGGAGGGAGGGAAAAAGGAAGGAAGGGAGGAAGGAATGAAATAAAAGGAGGAAAGAGAGGGAGGAAGGAATAAAGGGAGGGGATGGAGGAAGGAAGAAAAATGAGGGAGGGAATGGATGGAGGAAGGAAGAAATGAATGGATGGAGGAAGGGATGAATGAAGGAGGGGAGGGAGGGAGGGAGGGAGGGAGGAAGGAAGAAAAAAAGGGAATGGATAGAGAAAGGAAGGAAGAAAAGGCAAGGGAAGGAAGAAAAAGGAGGGAGGGAATGGATGGAGGAAGGAAAGAAATGAAAGGAGGGGAGGGAGGCAGGAAGGAGTGAAAGATATGAAAGGAAGGGGAGGGAGGGAGGAAAGAATGAAGGGAGGGGATGGAGGAAGAAAGGAAGGAAGGAAGGGGAGGAAGGAAAGAAGGAAGGAAGGAAGGAAGGAAGGAAGGAAAGAAGGAAGGAAGGAAGGAAGGAAGGGGAGGAAGGGAGAGTGAAAGAAAGGAAGGAAGAAAGAGAGGGAGAGAGGGAGGGAGGGAGGGAAGGAAGGAAAGAATGAAGGGAGGGGATGGAGGAAGAAAGAAAAGGGAGGGAGGGAATAGATGGAGGAAGGAAGAAAGGAAATGGATGGAGGAAGGAATGAAGGAAGGGGAGGGAATGGATGAAGGAAGGAAGGAGAGAGGGGAGGGAAGGAAGGAAGGAAGAAAAGGGAGGGAAGGAATGGATGAACGAAGGAAGGAATGAAGGCGGGAGCGTGAAGGAGGAAGGAATGAAGGAAGGGAGGAAGGAAGGAAATGAAAGGAGGGGAGGGAGGGAAAGAATGAAGGGAGGGGATGGGGAAGGAAGAAACGGGAGGGAGGGGATGGAGGAAGAAGAAAAGGGAGGGAGGGAGGGAGGGAATGGATGGAAGAAGGAAGGAAGGAAGGAATGGATGTGAGGGAGAGGGAGAGAGGGACAGAGAGAGGGAGGAGGAGAGAGAGAGAGAGAGAGCTGACATGGTACATTCAGAAGCATCACAGAGCTGCCAGCTGATCTGGACAGGGGAGGCAGAGCAGATTCTCTCTCCTCTGCTCTGCCATGGAGGATGGGGGGAGGGGCTGGACACTGTCAGAGAAGATGGGGTATCAGAGATCTGCGTGGGGGGGCTAAGGAGCACAGAGGGGGGGGGGGCCCAGGAAGAAAATCTGATGCACAGTCAGGGATGATCGATGCAGAGGAGGGACAGTGACAGCACCAATCTCTCTGTATGGATTTCAACGTGGCAGCTGGAAGCCTCTCCCTCCCGCAGTTTTTAGCAGCTTCATTGAAATTCATGCAGGGAGATCGGTGCTGTCACTGTCCCTCCACTGCACCGATCACCTCCGATTTTGTTCCTGATACTTATCATCCATGGGGGTGCGGGGTTAGTTCAGGGTTTGTGCGGTGAACACTCCGCACCCACGGATGATATGCCTCTCATCTTCCCACTGCCCTCCGGCTCCATCACCAGCACAGTGTCCGGACCCGTCACCCGACTCTCTCTGCCACCACGTGAAGTGACAGGTGAGCTACTTCTAGGTGGGGATCTGAGACTGCCTTCTCCTTCGCTCCCCACATTGTCACTGGACAGTGATCCTCTCATGGGCCCCCTACTGACCCCGGGCCCTGGGGCAATGCCCGAATGGTCAGTCCACCCTGAGTGCAGTGGTAGTTCATTCAAGCTTCCTGTCAGAATATCTGCTTAACCATATATCCCATACGGCTAGCAGATATTCTGACAGGTCTGCAGGAGACCTGCATGGCATCAGCGATCTACTGATCATTAGTGCAATACTTTCCAGGCTGATTCGTTTTTGGTCTCGTGTATTCAGCCTTCTCTACACCTTGTTTCATCTCTCCATATTCTGGGAAGCCTGGTATGCCTTGCTTCATTGTCCCATACCGGGCCTGTTGGCTCGTCAGCAGAAGTTGGCCTCTTATTTATTCTTGTCGGCAACCAGAACTATTGCTCAGGCTGGAAAAGTGTATCTGTTCCTTTTCAGGGGTTGCGGGACTGGATGACCACTTTAATGCTCAATTAACAGATGCCGAGTATTCGTAATGACTCCCAACAAAAAATGTTTTAAATATGGGATCTGTAATTGACGTATGCTTTTCCCACGCTGCCCCCAGCTAGTCTGGGTTTAGGTTGTTAATCAGTATTGGTGTTCCTGGATCCCTGCTGTTGGTCTTGTGTTTTTCTCCTTCCTTTACTCTCCTTGTCTTTTTGTTTTTGACTGATTTTTGTGAGGCGGTTGATATATGCCTTTGGTTTGCTTCACTGCTGATAATACAACACTATATCTTTATATTTTCTGTACCATTGATGGCCCCTGCGTGGGTGTGCCTTTTGCACTGTTGCTATGGCATTGTTTCCCTTTGTATTTTATGTGCCATTGATAGCCCCTGCATGGTCATACCTTTTGCTTACTTCTCTTTGTTTAAAATGTTTAAAATAATTAAAACCCATTGAAATACAAAAAATGCAGTGATGAATCCCATAACAACCAATCAGATTCATTAAATTTACATTTGCTAGTTTAATCAAATAGAAACCAATTTCTTTTTTAATGCCGTGATTATTTTTGTAGTAATACTTCATTATTGTTCTTTGTAACATGCTATTGCGGCACTGATGACATCAAGAGGGGTAAATACTGTATATCGTGAGTTCTGCTGAAAAGGATGCAAAGGTATGCACTCCCAACACTGGGTGTTGACTGCTTTTGCAGTTCATTCCTTAATAATGGTAGTGAAGTATAGCATGATTACACCTGATAACTGTTAGAGAGTACCAAAAGACAGCAATGAAGTGCATGTCACATGCACTTTTCATTTATGTACTGCCTGTTCTCTGTTCACTGGCAGAACAGAGAGTTGA